AGGTGTTCTGTTTAGAAGGTGTTCCCTCCCCCCTCTCTCCTTTCCTGCCCTTTTTTGGATCTAAGTTCATCTTTTAGGTCAAAAGAAGAAAAATTCTCCCCCTAGTGGCAGAGATTAACCAGCTTTGCATTAGTTCCTATCGGAACTAATTATTTGACTTAAGAACGGCGTCTCTACATAAGAACGAAAAACAGCCAGAACGGATTAAATGGTTTCCAGTGCATTCCTATGGGAAATGGTGATTTGACTTACACAAATTTCAAGATGCGGCCACCGTTCCAATATGGATTAATTTCATAAGCCGAGGCACCACTATAATCTGTCCATATCACTTTTTGAATGTAGTGCATGTTGATAAGTTTCCATGTTTTTTGATCCAATTCTTCTTATTCATTTTGGGTCCAGCCTATTATTCCAGCTGGGTATCTGATTACTGGGACTGCCCAGTGTTTATGGCTTTGACTGTATTTCCACCATTTAATTTTGATTTTAAGATCTTCTGCAATCTTTTGATAATTCCCCCTTCTATCAGTTTTATAACTTTTGTGTGCAGGATGTTATCTGTTTCTAGTGCTCCAATATATTTATGATTTTCATCACTTGATAGTGATTTTATAATATCACCATTTTAAACTCTATTCCATCTAAGAGTATTGATAGAGCTGTACATTTGTCAATTCCAAATTTCAATTGAATATCTTCACTAAATATTCGCACTATGCTTAGCAATGGTTCTATCTCTGTGGAATTTTTTGTATGTACTTTTAAGTCATCCATATATAACAAACTGTTGATTTTTCCTGCTTGTTCTGATATATGGTAGTCCAATCCAGTTTTATTTAAAAATCATTGTCATGGGGATCAATGAGATGTTAAACAGCAGCGGTGACAAAGAATCCCCTTGAAATATTCCTCTTTGGATGCTAACTTCCCCAATTCTTTAACATAGGCTATTATGACATTTTCCTTTTTTCTATGTTTTTCTTGAGGAACTTTTCATTAGTTTTTCTAATTTCAGAAAGTTTTAGGCAGCTGTTAATCCATCTGTGTGGCAATGAGTCAAATGTCTTTTTAGAGTCTATTCAGGCCATGTTAAGATTTGGTTTTTTTGTATTTTTGCATTCTTTAGTATCATTTTACCAATAAGCAGCTGATCTTTTGTGCTTCTTGACTTTTTAAATTTCCCTTTCTGTTCAGTTGGCTACAGGGAGTGTTCAATTAAATATATATTGATCATGCAAGTACTCCTGTGAGCAGCTTGAACATTGTTGGAAGGCATGTAATTGGTTAATAGATACTGGGTTCATTGCCTTTTTGACGATCTTTTATTATCAGAAATGTGCAGCCTGTTGTCATCCAATCTTCAGTTGTATAATTTTGAAATAAGTGATTAAATTGCAGCAGTATAAGTTGATGGAGACTTGTTAAATGCGTTAACCAAAATCCA